ATAAAGCTGCTGAAAAACATTATCAAAGGAATGAATGAAAGCAATCGACCCCGCGTGGCTGTCCAGAAACTCCTGTTAAAAACTGTTGGAGAGCGGGACTACACCAGCCAGGAAGCCTGCCACATGATTTTTGGATTACCATTGGTCCGCTGCAGCAGATCTTTCGTGAAACTTTGCATTTTTGAACATACTCATCTCTGAAGAATTAAGCGCACGTTACAGGGCGATAAAGATTCCAGTGATGCCACCGAAACTGATGCTGTCTAAAAATACATCAGCCGGCTTGAGTAGATCGAGAACCTGTGGTTACGACAAGTGATGACAGCATTTACGTGGAACCAGAAGGAGGAGAACTGGAGACCTAAGCCGGCCGGGAAAGAAAATGTCGTGGACGTCATTCCTTATTTTACAGTAAATCCAAGCGATGAAGGGTACTGCCGACAAAGGTTAATGCTGGAACACCCTTTCCGAGCTATAGACCAGCCTGTGGGAGGCTTTAATGGTTCATGGGTTCAGGCATTCGCATCGTCCAAAAAATTTACTGAAGAAGAGCGGTTTCCGAACGGTGCCGAAGCGTCTGAGGATGAATTCGAAGAAGACCCACAGCCTGGCGTTCAGCACGCGGAGTAGATGGAGGTAGCCGGACTCGGTCCCGGAGCTACAGTTTCTGTGGAAGAATACGCTACAGTTTTAGGTAAAAGACAAGTTGACACTAGTCATGAATGGGGAGCTGCGATTCGGAATGTTTAAAATGTGGAGCTCCTTGCCAAGTTCGTTGACCGATCACGCCACGAACTGGGAGACGTTGCGCCTGAAGTCCTTCTTGCAGATCAAGAAAAGCTAAATCGCGAACAGAAACTACTTTTCGACATGGTTGAAACCCAGTGTGAGACGGCTGACGAGACACCTTTGCGACTGATTGTTCTGGTAAGCAAAGAACGAGAACGCGTTGCAGCACCTAACTATGACGTTTTTGGGTTTTTAACAGGGCACAGCTGGAACTAGGAAGTCGTTTCTCATAAAGTCACTGATGGGACTGCTCAACTATTCGCAGCAGGATGGTTCCCGTTACCTGCAGTCCTTCTGGCGCCTACTGAGGCGGCAGCTTTTCTGGTTGACGGAAGTACAATTCAATTTCGTCTGCGCAATTCTCCTAATACCTGAACCACGAAGCCGCTTTCTGGAGAAGCATTGCGAAATCTGCAGAAAGAGTGGAAAAATTCTCGGTATTCAATCCTAGAAGAACGCACCATGATCGGCTGCCGAGTTTTTTGTGCCATAGACAAGCGGCTTCGAGAAATCTTCGTTCAAATGTCATCAGAACCATTTGGTGAGATGTCTGTCTTCATGATTGGAGATCTGCTCCAGTTACCTGCGGTAAATGACCGTTCTCCTTACTGCCCATCCACTGCTTTGTCAGCAAATCAGGACCACCAGACTGCCTATATGCTGCATAGTGTTTATTCGAGCAGCGGTTCTGAGAATTCAGCAACGCCAAATTGGTGACGACCCCACTTCAGCCGTATTTCGAGACGTTGTATGGAGGCTCAGTCATGGCACTTCAACGATTGAAGATTTTGAAGTTCTTTAGAGCCGCCGGATTGCGATGCTATCTTTTGAAGAGCAGCAACAGTTCCGCGCTGACGAAAGGCTCTTCTCCACTCGACCAGAAGTGGAACAGTACAATTGTGAAGTTTTGGAGCAAAAGGGGTTATGTGTAGCGTTAATTCAAGCCATTCATAAGTGCGCCATTGGGAAAAAATCTGACATTGATGATGCTTAACGGCTGCCAGCTGTACTACGGCTTGGTGCAGGATGTCGTGTGATGTTGAAGTTGAACCTGTGGGTCAGCGTCGGCTTGGTTAAAGGTACCACCGGAACAGTTGAGCAGATCATCTATGAGCCGGACAGCGTGCTTCCAGCACTGCCGCTTGCCGTCCTTGAGCGTTTCGACAAATATAACGGGCTGTGCTTTTCTGCTTCAGTAAACTGCGTTCCGATCGAGCAAACGACGAAATCTTGGTCCAGTGTTGTTTGCCCCGAATTCAAGACAAACAAGCAACAGCAATGCAGTCGGACCGTCATTCCATTAGTTCGAGCGGATGCTTTGACAATTCATTCCAGCCAGGGTCGTACAATGGAGAAGACTGTTAGATCTGGCGAAAAGGGAATTTGCTCCTAGTCTTAGTTTTACCGGTTCTTCCCGCACTCGCCGCTTACAAGATTTAGCTTATAAAAAAGACGTTTTATTATATGAGTATTCAGTTTTCTGGATCCGGAGTAATTGCTGACCGGCTTACGGAAGAGGCCAGATTCGAAGCTCTTGCAAAGTTCATCGTTTTCCAGTGGTATGTAACAACTTGTCTTATAGCAGTAAATAGTTGTTTTACAAGTTACGATTTATAGGGCAATCAGTATGCGACATCGAAGCGGCAGAGACAGAAATAAATTATCACATGAAGAACCTGACCATAAAGAAAAAGCCGGGAGGAATAGACTGACTGTTTGGAACGTGTTTCTAAATAAAACGCTGGCCGTTAGAAGCTTGACACTCGTCAAAGTTACAAGTGATGGAAACTGCTTTTACGGTGCTTTGTCGTTTGCACTACATGGAACTGAAGATCGTCACCTTGAAGTTCGAACAAATATTTTTGATTTCATGTCTCGTCCTGAGAACTTCCCTTTCTTAAGATACCGATGTTCGGAGTTAACTTGGGCAAAGCTGTTAATTCTTATGATCGGAATATGCTGCAAGCTAACACCTGAGCTGGTGCTGAGCAATCGGTAGCCGCGTCTAAAGCTCTGAAGTGCAGTATTACCTTTATTCACCCGTACACTGTGTGGGATTTTGATAGGACTCATGTTCAGTCTCAGAAATCTGTGTACATAGTCTATGATGGAGTTAATCATTACCTATATGACGGCAATACGAGAATAAAAATTGAAACAAAAACACTTCACGATTTTAAAAACACCTTACGATTTTGGAAGCCGTAAAGTCTTTAAGGGTTTATAGCTTCATATTTCCAGCGGATTAGCGCTCGCGCTCGGTGCACTGATGTGGTTAACAACCACCACAAGTACAATATGTATTGTTTGCGGGTTCCATTACAATATTTACACTACATGGCTACTCTACCCTACCTGTACGTTGGTGTGTGGTGCGGCGGCCGGTGCTGCGCAGTGTGGAACGGAGGCCGGTGCTGTGCAGGGGCCAGTGTGCGACGGTGCGGAGTGTTGGACCCGGTGTGATACGGTGCAGGTGTAAAGTCCAAGTATTGTTTTCTCTTAGCCCTTTCTTAAAATATTAACTGTTGCTCACGCCAGTTACGTCATCATCGCCAGCTGTCACTGGCCAATTGATATGCATGTCCTCAGTGAAACTGACACAAAGCGCCATCACTTTGGTCAGAACAATGGTATACAGCTGACAAAGTTGGAACTGGCGCAACTACTATACTTGAAAAATGAGCGTAAGCTGCATGCCATTTATGATGCTGCCAATCGCTCACGTGTGGAGCAGAAAATCCCTCTTCTTGGAAAACGGAGTACAGTTTTTACATTAAAAGCGGGCCTGGGCGGTGACGGCGAGCGGTCATTGGAAATCATACAGGCGGAAAACTCCATCAAGATATCGTTTCATGCTCTGTTGTTGTTGTTGAGAGAATTCATCTATACTGATTTTACAGTTTTTGACTTACCTATTGACTCGCATGACGCGCCTGAGTGGAACACGGTTTTTAGTACTCTGTTGAATTCTGAATTAAACGAACAAACAGAAAGAGGATAGGGAAAAATAACCAAAAGAAGGGGGTAAAGTACGGTTCGGTGCAGTCTCGGTCCGGTTCGGTCCGGCTCGGTTCAGACCGTTTGGGTTCATTCCGGCTCTTGCCAATCAGAGAAGAGGAGTAAACCAATCACAAAGGCATTTAGATCGCCGCATAAAAGTGCGCCAAAAGCAGTTACACCTGCTGGTACACTACTGACCATCCGATCCGCTGGACTTATTCCCGGAACTCGAACCAAAGAGGATTCCGCTAACATAAAGTCAAACACGTCACCGCCGCGTTTTACTCCATGTTTGCCAATATATCATGGATACCCCGCGGATCGGAGCTATAGCTGGCTGCCAAAGACCAGCGATGGGCCCAGTAGGCCCTTGTGAATGAAGAGAGAGAGAGAGAGAGAGAGAGGAAAGCTACTGCGAAAATTGAACAGTTGCTTACATTGAAGAGTTTTGAAGGAACCGTAGGTGTTCAGATTACACAGGTTTTACTGTATTACATAGACCAGCATGGATCGCTAATAAAACTAGGGTGCATTGTTACGAGGGTAATTATTGATAGTTATTCTAGTGGCGATGTACCCCAGCCAAACATATCCAAAGCGCATATTTTCAGGATAGTATGGCCTCTGGTTGGAGCTCCATCTGCAGCTAAATGACTAGGCAAAAAAAAACGGAAGTCTCCAATTCAATAACTAAGGACTGCGTGTCTCAGCGGCGTACGACCAAAACAACTAAGGTTACGAACTCAACAATTTAGTCGAAGACTGTAACGAGTCTCTAGGTTGAAGCATAAGCACCCGGAAACTTTCACCAGGTCCAAAAATTCAGACCCGTAATTTAGCCGCCATGTCCACAAATTTTGAACACCCACACCAGACAGGTCAAGCGAAACTCCACTGTGGTTTTCTTTCAGGTGAATTTGGCTTATATGCTAAATGAGTTTAAATTAAGCCCATGCGCTGCTGTCTGTGACGTATGTGTAGTATTGTGTATCGTGCTGGAATTGCTTCACCAGTTTTCAGGTAAAGCTATTTTCTGACGTAAACTACGTCGCAAGTGAGTAACTTAATTCACAACACCGTCAAATAACGGTTATCGTTGACGTCTACTTGCATTTTGCAACTACCCTGGGGCAATGCGAGCACAGTACAGCAGCCTTTCGGGTGACCGTGCGCAAAATGCTCGAGCATTCTCTCTTTGTGTTCGGCTCAACCTTGACCGTCATAACCATTGTGGAGCATATGTTGTGAGAAATGAGGTGCGCGGTCAACGTTTGTGTACAACTTTGGACAAGCCTCGCTAATCGATTCAATCTGTTGCATGCATTTTGTGTTACCTTTTCCACACATTGAATAACAGGTGAAACTATTATTCAGGTCTGTAGTTATCTTGATATGCGCCTCATAAACAGAAGCAGTCTGTTATCGGGCCTGTTATGTTTTTTAATAGTAGGATGCTGTCTTATCTGGCTGAAGCATATGCTTAACTGGGATCCTCCGGCTTTCGGTACTCAAAGCAATTTATTCAATAATATTTATTCGGGCAGCTTGGAAACAAATACTTCGGCTGGAAATCTTGTGGGGTCGATCAAAAACGCCATGGCAAGGCGGCCTCTCAACTATAGTTACAAGGAAAGACAAGACGTTCGAAGTATACATGCGCAGTACAACATCCACCCGGAATCGTGTGCTGGAATTGCTGGCTCGATTTTTATGTTAATTGCAGTTGCCAGTGGCGCAAAAAACTTCGAGAAGAGGAGAGCCATTCGCGAAACGTGGGGACAACATGGGACGGTTACTTGTGGCGTAAAATTTTTTTTTCTACTCGGGAAAGTGTACAATGTAACGTTACAGCAGTTGATAGCCTACGAAGCCCGCCAGCATGGCGATGTTTTGCAATCGAACGTGTTCGAGGATTCTCCCCTGTCATCGCCCCAAAGGATGTACCATCTGTTTCAATGGGCAAATACTTTCTGCACAGACGTTTCTTTAGTAGCAAGGTCGGATGACGACTGTTTTATTAGCATTCCAAACGTTATGGCATACTTTCGAAAAGAGAATACCCGCAGGATGAAAGGTTTCTATGGTTGGACGCACCACGGTGGGGTACTCGGACACAGAAATCCCAATAGTAAATACTACACATCCCGGGAAGACTTTCCGGGCGATACCGTGCCTGATTTTGTTGTGGGGTATTTCATTGTTGTAACCGCAGATGCTATACCAACCCTTCTAAACGCGAGCCGTTATGAGAGCCGGTTCACCGTTGATGATATTTTGTTCGGAATGATGTCACAATCCCTAGACCTTTCACGTGGACATTTGCCTAAAGTGTGCATAAACTACTTCCAATCAAATAGCCAGTGCCCGAAAAAGGAATATACAGTTATCCATTACGTTGAAAGCCACCAAATGTACGTCTTATGGAATGATCCTTGTTCTCCAAATACCATTGCTTGTGAAGTTTGACGTAAGCGTATTAAAAGCGGCCGTAATGCCACCGAACAGAAACCAATCTGCTGACCACGAAGACGAACCCCAATAGCGATCCAAATCAAAATCGTGTTTGTAGTGGTATTCGGCCTGCTTTTTAGTATTCGGCCGCTAGCGGCGGAAGTACGAAAAGCGGGGAACGTAACTGCCCTCGAAGCAGTTTTACCACTTGCCACAAATGTCGAAATCACCACAACTATCTGTCGAATTACAGTTTCAAAAAAAGCTTGACTTTGTCATTTTGAACATTTATGATTCAAATTCGCTTTAGTTTATTTAAAAATGAAACTGGCCACGTTAATGAAGTTGTATGTCCGAAAAAATACTTCTCAACTGCTGTTTTTAATTCTGCGACGTAAGATACTTCGACGGAGACGAAAAACATATTTTCATGACGAATGGCGCGCAGCATCATTTAGCTTGAATGCTTTAAGCGAGGAGTGTTGGGATTTTTTCCGCTTTAAGAAGCATGATCTTCCTATGTTGGCGGCGGCGCTTAAATTCCGGATTTGGTGTGGACTGCAGAAGGAGACTGTGTGAATGCTGTGGAGGTCTTATGAATTTTGTTGCGCCGTCTGTATTATCCAAACCGATCGACTGAACTGCGTAAATTTTGTAAAATTTTTAGTCGTTCCCAAGGTTCCATGTGGAGAATTTTCTACGCGGTCTTGTCGATACTGGATCGCTTATGGTCGAAGCATCTTTCCCGCCTGGATCATCCCTGGTTGTCAGAAGAAGATCTTTCGGGGTACGCTTCGGCTATCTCACAGAAATGGGGTGTTTTCCCAGATGTTTTTGCCTTTATCGACGGGACGGCGCGTCCCATTTGCCGATCAACATATAACCAGAAGATCATGGACAGCGGCCATAAACGTGTCCACTGCATTAATTGGCAGTCCATTCTACTACCAAACGGTAAATTCATTTTTTTTTGTCAGTTAATAAATTACTGTAAATTTGTTATTATTTTTTTAAACGTCGTCCACTAAGATTAAGTAGCATTTCAGTAATTTTCTGATCAGTGATATTATTGAAGCTCTGACATTTTGCTTTAGGATTGATTTGCTACCTGTACGGCGGTGAACCTGGTAGTGTCCATGACAGTCGGGTGTTTCAAGAGAGTGAAATGCTCTGGCGATTGAAAACTATGCAGAGCACCTTTTGCCGGAAATTCTCGCTATATGGAGATTCTGGTTATGGAATGAACGAATATTTAAGGAAGCCTTACTCAAAACTTCAGACAGCGTACAACCGCGCAAAAGACACCAGAACGATGCCATGAAATCTGTGGAATGGGGGTTCAAGGAAGTGGTTGTTAAATTCGCTTTTGTGGACTTCAAAAAACAGATGAAGTTATTTGAGAAACCCGTCAACAAAATTTTTCGTACGGCTGTTTTTTTCACAAATTGTTGCAATTGTTTGTACCCTAACCAAGTAAGTCAGTAGTTTAATGTTGAACCACCAACACTGGAAGAATATCTGTGCTAAACATCGGGAATAAATTTCGGCAATCTACAATAAGAAAATATTTCATTAAAACAAATCTCAAAATAAAACAACAAATAAATTAAATAAATTAAATAAATTAAATTTAAGAAAATCAAAATTACAAATCAAAAAAATTGTTGTTTGATCCCGGCCTAGAATTGTGTCATTTTAATTTCTCCACCGCAATTCTCTCAAGTTCAATATCCAGTTTTTTTTAGTTCGATCTCTTTTGCGTCAGCGGCTTCCTGTTCTTTGAGTTTCATTTTTTTCTCGTCCTGCTCTGTCATGAAATTTATCCACATCATTTCACTTTCTGCTTCTTTGTCTTTTCGCATACCGCGGGAAGATTTGACTTTCTTTTCTTCTGACGTTTCTTGTTGGACAGTGGCTGCTTGTTCTGCCCTTCGGAAACGAACTTCTTCTTGCCAGTCTCGAATATCGCCGCCGTTGGCGCTGAGCCAGTCGTTCATGGCATCTTCATCATCTAGAAATAAAAAGCCCCGGTAACTATTTTGAAATGCTGTGCATCAAAACGAGCAAGTGCACGAGCAAAAAACAGTAAAATATTCCATGAAATTAAACGACCTTGGTCCAGTCTGACATGCCGTACTTCGGGAACTGTCAGAAGCAATATAAAACTTAAAATTACAAATCATCAAAATATAACACAAGCTAATTCAGCTAAATTCTTTCATAAAATACTAAATATATACAAGTAGAGATTAAATGTGCATTTTTATAATACCGTACATCAGCAGCACTTATGGAATTTATATTCTTTAAATTATTTGCACTGTTAAAATTCTTACCAGATAAAACTGAGGCATCATCAGGGGCTTCCCGCTCGCTTATTTTTCGCCCGTGCTCTCATGCAGAAACCATGAAGGCCGCTATCCGCTTGCGCATGGCCATTTGGCCAGCATGGGCCTTGGTTTTCTGCTGGCGCGTTTCATCGGCGCTCTTCACTAGAGTCAAAATTTCTTAGAGTAGGTGCTCCATCTTATTGAAATCCACCTCCGTTCCACTGCGCGTTTTCTTCTGCAGTTCGTTCGCCTGGAACGCCGTGATGAGCACGCTCAGTCTTTCTTTCACAGCTCGGACGTCCAGAGACTTTAAAAACAGTGCAGCATCGTTCAGACTTTTCACAAAATCGATCCACGCTTTTTCCTTGTTGTCAGCCACATAGGGATTAAAATGTTGGACTTCACACAACGAGGCCACATCTGCTTTCGCGCACAATCGATTATAAGTTTTTTTAACTAGAGTATTTTCCATTATGAACGTTCGCGCAGCAACAAGTTGAAAATTAAAACAAAATACGACGTACAATTTGAAAACAAATGCACGGCTGACACGAGCCAGTGCACACAAGGCAACCTATGTGTATTATTGCAATATACCGCGGCCAAATTAGATTTTACAGCCTGTTTAGGTGCTCTCCTGGGGTTCATAGTTTCATTGTGCCGACCTGTTCTACCCGCAAAACGCCCAATTACTTTCACTGTGTTTCGTACGGAATTTCCATAAGAATTTAATGGACAGTTAGCTAGCTAAGTGAAGTTAAATTCGTGGCAAAGTCGCTGTATAGCTGTGTTTCGTGTTGCTCAGCCTACTTTTTTGTCATGCCTTGGGAACGGTTGTGACTTGCCGCCGGCCATGCACACGGCCCGGTTACCTTGTGCATTCTGTTCTGATCAGTCGTGCTGACTAGCTGTTATTTTATCAGACCGCTCATTTAGCCCTCTTGCGGTTTTCTTTACCACCCGCCCACCCATACATGGTGGCCTTTGATGTTATTGCTTTCGCAACTGTTCTGTTACTCAATGTAATAAATGGGGGCAGTCGGATGGAAATGGGGATATCGGAAGCTCGAACCGGTGAGGTCATCACCTGCACCTTCGACTTCGCATATGCCGCCGCGCCGCCGACCTGTTCTACCCACCAAACGCCCAATTACTTTCGCTGTGTTTCGTACGGAATTTCCACAAGAATTTAAGTATGCCTTGCGATTGAACGTGATGCTTTAAGCGTTAAATGCGGTAGACTGATAAATTAGCTTACATACTTACACATGTACCGCATTTTCTACATATATGGGAAAGGCGTAAGTAGGAATTGCTTTTTTAAAAGATCTTCTCCGTACACCTGTAGCACACGGTTTGTGGTGTTGTCTGTTCTTTTTTACTTGTGAGGATCGCTACCGTAAATTACCGCCAGTGATAAAGTAAATGAAGATTTCTGTCAAACGGACTCAAACTCAATGATTTTATGAAAGCAATTGAAAGTACGAAAGTTCAGAATAGATGTAATGGTTTATTATATTAATTTCACCAGTTATTTTTTAGAATAGCCATACTGCAGCATAATACTGCACTACAGTATGGAAAATTGTTCGCACATATGCACACGCCACACAGCAAGATTCAGCGATGACTGCACAATTCATGCTGTTTGACGTTGTACTACCACTTACTGGAAAGTGGCAACAGATGCCATTGATTATACCCAAAATCGAATTAGTAATAGGATTGTAGTTAATTTTTACATTTTACTGAAAGCAGCACTTGTTTCGGATAATTTAAATTACTGTTTTCTGTGATTAGACCGTTTTTTCCGGCTGCTTGTTAATTCACTCTGGATAGAAATTACTGGTTTTCGTTACTGTTAGTAGTTATCAACACATTGTTGGGGGGTAAACAAGGGCAACAGCCAACAAACAACAAAACTGTCTGCAACAATTCGGATTTGTCATGATTTTGTTTCGGATTGTTCCTACTGGGTTCGTTTTTGCCCCTGGATGAAAACTTTCCCTCATCCAGTACCGAAGGGTGGCTGCGGGACCTAGTCTGGAGATCTTTCTCCAGAGACTGTCGTGGCAGTTGTTCCGCAGTTATCGAGCCGCCACACTTATACATCGTGTAAGTACTCTTTTGGTAACCTGAATTCAGATCTCTTTCCCCTCGATCGCTTTATTTAAGGGACGACAATGACGAATCCCTTTCAGTGCCCATAATGCCTGAAAGTCCTCTCCAGTGCACTGTATCTGTCGAAACACCTTGAGACCCAACCGAAAGAATGCGCCAAAGTAGAACAACGTCAGCTGCGTTCTCAACCGCCAGAACCAAGCGCTTCGACCAACAATCAGCAGCGCAACGTACCCACTGATCTACCATCCCGCCTGGCGGGACTCCACGAAACAGTACACCTTCCCGATCACATCCCGAAAAGCACCCGTATCATAGTGGCTGAAGCGTTACTGCAGACAGTGACACTGGAGAGAGTTACGGACAATAACTCCACCAAAGCCTGGACAGATCTCCTCGTCTTCAGTTACGCTACGCTTGGGCAACCAAAAGCAGCGCAAAACCAAAGACCACGAATGTCGTACCCCAATATTATTCGCCAGAATCTCCAAAATCATGGTCCTCCCGAATTACTACAGGGTCCGCCGACGGACCGCGCTCCTCGAGCATCTAAACCAGACTCTCCTGTGCAGCTCCGCAAGCGAGTCAGCCGCAAGCTTCAGGATGGCAATGTCACGGTGCAGTGCGGCAGCTGACCAGCGAAGAAACAGTTTTGTCCGAGTCGCCAGAGACATTCGCTGCGTTGAAGGAGAAGCATCCTTCGAACCCACCGATATGTCACCCGCCTCCGGGACCCGCAACTCCGATAGCTGTCGATATTACTGCAGCAGAAATCGTGGAAGCAATTTGTGCCTTCCCGAATGGATCGGCAGCAGGCCCAGATGGATTTCGGCTTCAATATATGAAGGAGGTGATCAGTCTGAAACACAAATAACTGGGCGAAAAGTTGAGTGAATCACTAGCTGCCGTTGCCAACATAATGCTGAAGGGAGCTGTGCCCCAGGACATAACCCCGATACTTTATGGTGGAAACTTGTTTGCCTTCAAGAAAAAAGATAATGGGATCCGGCCCTATGCAGTGGGAACGAGCTTACGGCGTTTGTTTTGTCGTATTGTGACTTTCAGATTGCGCCATCTGAGTAAAGTGCTGCAACCTATCCAGCTGGGCTTCGCAACGAAAGGGGGTGTGGAAGCCGCTGTTCATGGCGCACGCTACTTTATCGAACATGCTGCGATTCTGGACAAACCACAGGTTTTCCTTAAACTGGATGTCAAGAACGCTTTCAATTCCCTTGACCGAAACTACATACTAAAATTTGCCGAAGAGTTCATGCCGGGGTATTACAAGTTTGTGTGGCAGTGTTATGGTGAACCATCAATATGCACGGCAAGTACAGTATCTCTTCACAGGCGGGTATCCAGCAGGGTGACCCCCTCGGCCCACTACTGTATTGCCTCGCAACTATCGGACCACACAAACGCCTAAAGTCAAAGTTGAAGGAGAGCTTTCTGGACGATGATGCGCTGGGCGGAGACCCTGAGGATGTGTTTGATGACCTCTGCTCCCTTCAGGAAGCGCTACAAGAACGCGGTGTAGCGCTTAATATAGCGAAATGCGAGCTGATGGTAATCGGAGGCTCAGAAGAAGAACGCCAAACTGTGCATGACGCATTTCTCCATTCTTATCCAGACCTGCAATGTCCCCAGCTGAAGGATCTGAATTATCTCGGTGCACCTCTCCACGATGATGCGGTTGCAGGCGCACTCGTTAGTGCTACGGAGGTAATCGCCCGATTGACGGAGCGCCTAAATCTAATACCGGCCCATCAGGCCTCGTATCTGCTGAGATGCAGCATGGGTACGGTAAGGCTGAGCTACAACTTGCGCGCAAGCCGTTGCTATTAACAAGGGATGTTATTAAGGAAGTTTGATGATATGATACGCCACACCCTCACTTCTATTAACTGGGTTGCGGCGGCTCTAAATCGCTGCAGAGCAGCCAAGGTTTGCATTCCAAATGCCGCTGCCGTCTGGCACAGAAAGACGTTTTTGGTCTGCTGCTTGAAAAAGACTTGCGAAACAAAACGTGCGCCATCGCATACAATACCAAGAGGGAAACGGAGTACATGTGGACTGCTCTTCCTCTCACATTCAGATATACTGACGCCCTACACTCAGACCATACTTTATGCGTTTTGACCAGTCCGAGCGACTTTGCCCTCTCCTGTGTCTTTTGATAGGGAGCAGGGAGCGCAGCAGTCGACCAGGACCTACATGTTCAAAAAAGGCGATTTGGACCGGGCTGCAAGAGCGTTGCAGAGGACGGTCTGCAGACCAGACGGGGTTTGACTCAGACCGCTTGCCGTTTTTATGGCCTCTGCAATGCAAACTATCGCTGATTTGTAACGATTTGAGAGCCGCCGCAATCCAGTTATTACCAACGTCAACATCACTGATTACATGTGGTCGCAGGCATCGCTCCCGATTGTAGAAGGCGGTCTCGGAATTCGAAGCGTCGAGAAGCTTGCCCTCCCGGCCTTTTTGGCCTCAGCTTACTCGGTAGCTCCACTAACATCGGAAATTATTGAATTCGTACAGGACGTCTACTGCCGTGATGCTACTGCAGAATGGCTCCAAATAACCCAACATGATCTCCCACCCTCGGACGCGTGACCAGTCCAGAAAGTTTGGGATGACCCTATAATCCACGACACCGCTGATCGGCTTCGAACGGCAGCCGGGAGTGACATCTCCGAGCAGGCAAGGCTGCGAGGTGTGAGCACGAAAAAAAATGGGGCATGGTTGGGAGCGCTTCCGGTTGCCTCACTTGGCAACCTTCTTACGGACTTCGTGGTAAGAATCGCCGTTGGTTTGCGTCTGGGGGCACCGGTCATTACCCCACACCGCTGTGTTTGCGGTGAGTGGACGGATGCTCGGGGCTACCATGGGCTAAGCTGCAAGAAAAGCCGCGGACGAATCCCTACACATAAATGCCTGAACGCCATTGTGAAGCTCAGCCTCGCATCTGCTGGTTTCGAAAGTGAACTGGAACCGCAAGGCATCTTCCCAACAGACAGTAAGCGACCAGACGGTGTTACTTTAACACCTTGGGAGAGAGAACGAATGCTGGCATAAGACGCTACTTGCGTAAACACAATGGCCATATCGCACATTTTTGCGACATCCGCCCGAGCCCGAGCAGCAGCAGCACAGGCCGAGCAGGGCAAGATCGAGAAATATCGCGACATCGGCCAGGACTACGTGTTTTGCGCTCTTGGTTTTGAAACGCTCGGACTGCCCGGACCGGATGCTGTTCGCACGATAACGGAATTCGGACAGATGATACGACAGGAAACCGGCGAAAAACGAGCTACGGAATATCTTAGCCAGCGGATCAGTATCGAAATTCAACGAGGAAATGCGGCATCGATCTTGGGGACAGCGCCGATAGGGGCAAATTTAGACCAAATTTTCTCTGTGATTAGGCCGCCTCTGAATGTGATCGTTTCCGAAGTTATATGCCATTCATTGCACTTTTCTACCAAATTTCGTTTTTGTCTTTTATTATTATTTTTCTGTGTACGTTGAAGGAAAGCAGTTAGACTTTACACACATTGTTTAAAAAACTGTGTAAAGCAAACGCAGGCAGTACTTCTATTATGAGAGATCCAGGGTGGATCCCGTGGAGTGAGCAATGCTGAAAGTATTGCGAACGATGCAATAACACACGACATCCGCTCAACTACTTGCTGACTTTAATAATGAAAAATCACAAATCGGAGAGCCACTTGCAGTGCGCTCGCATCCGCATTGAGCGCCGCCCACGCACATGGCGAGAGACCGCAAACAAAGAACGGCTTTAGCCGTCAACCACTGAGAAGCGGACACGTCACAGACAGTAATACGTTGGCGTAGCGTTGCGCAGGTGAACGCCAGTGATCCATCGCTCACACTTCTGTGCCAAAGTGCTGATAAAAAATAACGCGAATACTGTAACATAGTCTATAACGCGAAGTAAGCTGGTGGCGTGATAGCAGCCATAATAAAATTGATTCTGTTAACGCTAATTACTTTTAGTTTATTAATCGACCGAAGCGAAGCGGGGGTCCTCTATGTTCCGAAAAACGGGACTTTTGTCTGTCAGTCTGTCACGTAGTCCGTAGTATAGGCCATAGTATAAGCCTAGGCCGTATCCGTAGTATAAGCCGTAGCATAGGCCATAGTATATAAGTCAAATATACGGGATGGTGGAGTGCGCAAAAGAATCTTTTGCTTCGGTCGCAAAAGAATTAGGTAATTTAAAAGTCTTTTTAAATCACCTAATTCTTTTGTATGCGTGCCTGTAAAACTTCGCTGCTGTTCTTAAAAAACAAGCGCCCTACCGGGTGGCTGAAGAAAATGGCCGTCTCCGTTTTAAGCTTATTTCTTGCAAACGATTCGTCGCAGCGTATCGTGTTTACACTCATTCGACAGAGAATTTTACTGGTGAAAGCACGCTGTGTGCGTAGCACAGGAGTGCGAACGGAACAAACGCGCTACCAACCAAGATCGTTTATTAAAATAAAATTTTAACTAGGGAAGTGCACCGCTGAAGCTAGCACTAAAAGACCGAAGCGAAGCTAGAACATATTTTACAGCACTTGAATTTTAATAAATGAATATTAATGAAATGAATTTTAATAAAGGCACTATCGCCCGACAAATGTAAATCATCCGCAGGATGATCAGAGGCCCAGAAAGGGAACACGAGGAAAAACACTGTCGACTAGTCAGGATATTCCTGGCTTGGAGATGAGAAATCCACCGAATGAGAGTGGGACCGTACATCTTAATGTACGGTCGAAATTCGAAAAATACCCGGGGATCGCAGAGCGACACCCACCGCCAACCTGTGCGGTGGCACTGCTTTCCTGACATGCCACGGGAAGGAACTCTGAGCTCCCGCGAGGACATACAGACTCAAAAAAACACAGAAACTGATGAGCAAAATGCGACCAAATACAAGCGCGGCGGCATATACTAGGTTAGAAAAATCACAAAAAATAGCGAATTTTATGAGATGCATTTCGTCATGATGCGTTCCATTCCGTAGAATCACTTGTCCTCCAAATCAGCACAATTCCGGCAGCACATCGCTCACGCATCAGTCAACATATCGGTGTCAGCATCAGCTGCAGCCGTGTCAGAAACGGAATCGGTTACAGCGGCGACGGCGACTGCATTCCTTGCATCGCCACGTATTTCGGACATTGGTTGCACAAATTGTGCCAGCTCATTTTCCACTGTATCGTGGAATTCTTCACCTTGCGGTGACGGCAAACGAATAAACGGCTGCTCAATATTATCGGCATCATCTAGATATTCATCTAGGTATTCGTGACGGTATCGATGATAGAACTCGAGTTGTTCCTCATCCATTTCGGACTCTTTCATTTTGCGTAAATACGCGTACGGACGCAGGTGTACGGCTAGTGCGGCGCATTATCGCGCGTGGGTCATGATTCACAGAGATCAGAACGGGTATTTAAAAAATGGAGCTGTGCAGCGCGGTATTTTGAATACGTGCGGTATAGTTGTTTTGACCATTCAGAGCGTAGATAAGCTCCGGATCGTGATGACACACGTTACCAGTCATTTCTACTGCGGATAATGCACAAAAAACCTACATAAGCGTTGGAAGATACCCGAATGTCTGAATCTGAGCATTGCGCATATTTCGCCAGCTGATACTGCGTCTGCTGGTATTGATAATAAGGTATTTGCGGCTGTGCCTGCGGGTTCACCGCATAGACCTGCGGCATAACATTTTGTAAATTTAACGCATCTCTCTCCCACTGACTGGGACTATGACGATTTAGGGGAATACATTCCCAATCACTTAGAGAAAACGTATCAGCATCTGAATTAGAATTTACCTAGTTCATCGGCATCTGCATTTGCGCAGAATAGTTTATCGGCAACTGCAGTGGCGCAGGATAATTAGGCTGCGGCGGCAAGTCGACAGGCAGTGGCATATCGCACCACTGTGGTTCGCGATCGGCTATCAATTTCCGGGCAGCGTCATTCACCCTGATACGCTGCCATGGTTTCGCCTGGAATACCGACTTGAAATGCGCTTCACCTAGTGTGGCGTACGCATCCAAACTGCAGGAAAGGATTTTATTAACCAGTCGGTTAACAACGGTTTCCTTCTCCCGTTCGTCGTACAATTTATCTTCGAAGAGACATTCGGCGCATTTTCGGCGGTTAGTGGTATACCGTGGTTAGTGGTGGCATCGGCTAAATATCGCATATAATAACATTATGTTAATTAATCGACAGTAATTAACCGGCAATGTGTTACCTATTTAAATCGGCTAAATAATTTCTTAATCGACATGATGATTCAGAGCAAAGAGGTACCAACCTCATATTGTGGGGAATTAGTCAGCTTATAATTTTAATTATTATTTATACAGAACTCTACAGTTCAGTCGGTAACACATTTCTATTTTAATTCGGCGATTTGTGCAAAAGGAACGGACCACATTTTAACGGGGAAATCTACGGCTAATATAATAATTATCCAATTAGTTGTTAATTATTAGGCGGCTAAGTGAAAATTTATTAATTATTATCGACAATAAATCGGCTTTTAATGTGTTATTTTATCGGCGTGATGGTCCCGGTTCATCAGCCCGGTTAATACGCCAAGTGATACCACGTTCCGGATCGTTTGTAGAAATACTACGCGGATCTAGTACTAACTCGGACACGGCTAATTCCACATAATGATCAACACGATTTCCCATATCGGGACGAACCGTGCAAATATACTGCGCGATTTCGTCGACTGTCGATCCCTGGTGATCGTTAATTTCTCCGGCCGCACGGGTAACTACTTCTTGCCAAGAACTGGCACCTAACAATGGATATTCAAGCAGAAACGAGATGTGCGGCGAAACGGTATAATACGCCAGCAATTGCTGAGTAATAAAACGGCGTAATAATCTACCCTCTTCATATGCGCGGGTAACTGCGGTTACAACGGCTGTCGAATTATTTCGATGCCTAAGGCGATCGATAATTCTTCCAAAAATCGGCTCTTCACGAGATCGAAGGATCTGCCCGAAAGTATCTGCCAGAACAGCCAGAGTAGGTTCTGAAGGCGGCGGCGGCGGTCGAATGACCGTGTTCTTCTTTCGCTTCTTATCGGGCGGCGGTAGACCTAAGTCTTTTACTGGCACACCAGTTACGGCATTCATTCGCGTGCGGTTTGTTTCGGCCAGGGCATATCGCGGCACAATAAACCCGGCAATCTCTACGAGTATTTCCCTACGGAGTAACTCGTGGACGGCTTCCAAAATCATAGGAAACTGTTGTGCAGCAGAACGCGGTCGCATCGGCAATGTAAACGTTATGTAGTTCGCTATTTCGGCTACAGAGGAACCAAGTCTATTGTGAATATCGTGTAAAGCGATAGTCACGGCTCCTCTGAAACTTTCCGGCGTATTAACGATCATCCGCTCGTACCACCTACGGCGATGATCGGTCGGCGAATACATTATCGTACCTGACCAATGTTGGTACACTTCGAGCATTTCGCCCCGGTTAACTGCGCCTTGAATCGCTAGGCGAAAGCGTTCACGATTAACATCTCTGTTAACTTTGCTCCGATAGGTCTGGAATAAAAAGGTAAATGATGCGACTCTTTCCTTATTCTTCAGATCTTTAAAAAACTGAAAAGCGGCTCTAACATTACACGCAATTCGTCTTCCGGTTCATCGTGCTCCGCTACAAACGGCAGCGAAGCATTGGACCGCGAAGAATCTTCCGAATAATTCGACGATTTATTCGGTGACTTTTTAGGTGACGGCTTCTTAGTAATCGGCATATGTTCCGGAAATTCCGGCGACGGTACACGGACAGTTGAAGGAGTATTAACATTCTTCCCGTTTGATCCTGCATCGACTGATCTAAATCACCAACTTCGACAGTCGGCTCATCGATTACGAGTCTATTCGGCTCATCTGCATCGCTATCAAACAGCATCGGTTTATTTGGTCTCGAACCAGGATGATTTGCCGTTGCAACTCCTCCCGATCCTGACGCAACTTCTGCCTACGCTGTGACTCACGCAGAGCCGTTTCGGTACTAAGATTACCGGTTGCCTCTGGAGACAATCGCGGCATTTTATTTGGCGACAGCTGTCCGTCTTTAGACTGCTTAGGCACACCATCAGTCTGTGCCACCGGCAAAGTACCACTCTGTGATACGGGTAAATTCGGCATACGAACTGGCGTACTAATTTCAACAACTCCCGGTCGCACTATTGTACTAATAGGGAACTGCTGATCAGTCGGCAAAATTATAAAACGGTGTTGCGATAGAGAGCTTTTGCTCACCGGTCGAAGACGTACAGCAGTATTCGGCGGTGCAACAACCATACGCGGCTGTGCTGACGGCGCATGACCCGGCACAACCGGCCTGATTTGAATTACTCGCGGCAGCAATGTCGGCGGTATGCCGGCCCCATTACAAGCGTATGTCGACGGTGACCTATGGTAACGCGTGCCAAATTCATGTGTGGGTCTCCCGGCACCAGAGGCGGCAACGGCGTAATGACCGGCGTTTCCGTGATACGAATCTCATGGCAACGGCGTAATGACCGGCGTTTCCGTGATACGAATCTCATGCGGCACTGGGTAATTTAAACGGATCACACCGTGATCTGATATCGGGTTGCAACGCGCACCTTGCGGAGTCGCTAGGTACGGCTGTGCCACTACGGCAGGTTCTTGCACATTACGTGCCGGCTGAATAGACGGAGGTTCACTCTGGAACACGTTCAAATTTATCGGCAGTAATTGTACTGGCGCCTGTGTTTCCACCGTGCGTACAGTCAGCTGAATTACGGCTACATTCTGTACTGGTTCGACATTAGACTGTCCGGCTTGAATATTTCGTACATTTTCCGGCGATTCATCTGGCGGAAAATTCTTGCCATCATCTTCCTGCATACGGCTTAATAATTCTTGATAACGGTCATAATCGGTAATATATACCGGATCGGTCTGACTAGAACGAGAAACCCGTACGGTGTCAATCTGAACCGCCTCTTCCTCAGGTTATCATCATGTAACAGAATATTCAAACGCTGAGTTTTCGGCGGCGTTCACGGCGTTATGCCATTACCTGAACCCCGCGGTCGTTGCGGCTGACGGCCTTGGCGTTCCATTCCGACTTTGCCTACAACACAGTGAGCACGGTGAGTTAGCAGCATAATAATTACATAAATAATTCAAGAATTAGTTCAGTAATTGATCGGTAATAATTTCGGCAATTATTTCGGTGATTTAGCGGAATCATTAACAGAGATACGGACCACTACGTTAGTGGAATTCTCCAAGTCGGAGCGGCTAATTACATTAGAATTCGACAAGAGGTACGAACCACCGTAATAGGGGGAAATAGTAGGGTTAAGTCGGCAAGTGGTACGGACAGCAACGTTAATAACGAAATTACCGTACATGTACGTATCCTGTTTTGTTACGGCGTAAATGCAACTTTAATTTAATCGACTTTTTCTTATTGTTTTTACGGCTATTATCAGCGACAACCACGCCTTCCGGTTCCCACTGATCATTGTCGTTTCCGACGGCAGCATTATTTTCGACATTATCGTACGACTTCAGTAATGTCTATTGATTCGGCTGATATGAACGGCTCAGCGTCCACATTCAGACCATTTTCGGCTGATTTCGGGATCGAGATAATAGAAGTTGTTTCCTTCCGATCCTCTTCGGTTGTATTATAACGTTTGAGGCGCTCGCAATTAAGAATACGTGTTTCTCCCGGCTTATCTTTATTCTCGATTTCGACTGCGTTGGTGTACGGGAAACCAGCAACTTCCCATCTGCCTCCGAATTTCTCACGGAAGGATTCGGTTTAACCTTTCTTCTTCTCTCGCTTTAGAAGAACTAGTTCACCGATCTGATAATCGTCTTCCCTGCGTTTCTAATTAAAACGCTCGGCAGTTTTAACAAATTCTTCTTGGATATTGATTTCGGATATTAACTCATGCGCTCTCGCTAAATTATGACGAAATTCATCCATATATTCGGCTATCGACGCATGTTCGGCTGGTATATTGGTCTTATTGACCGTATCGGCTGGGATGACTTGCTCGCTCCCGTACAACATATAGTACGGCGACATGCGAGTGGACTTATTTTGGACACGATTTTTAGCGGCTACATTATTAGCTACGGTAACAGCATGATTAGGCTCGTTAGATTCGACATTCGCATTATTACTCACGGCTGCGTGCGTTCGGCTTTAATTGTGATCTACACGCTATTGTCGGCTCATCTCTTTTAAATTCCATTACCGACGCCATTGGATCGAAGCGTGACCGAGGCGCTCGGTTAGCTTGTAGTTTAATTTTCTTTTTGCTCGTGGCCTTTGCCTTGGGTATCGGAACAATTACGGCTTTAGGGATCGGCTCTTTAGGAATTGCAGTAGCAGTAATAGTTGGTTCCGATGCCACGGGTGTCGGAACAATTTCTTCAATAGTATTCGGCTTTATTGGTTGAATAGCTATCGGCTGAAGTACAACAGTGTTAATCTTACGGATACACTGTAACTAGTTTTTTCGAACTAAATAGAGAGTATCGGCCAAGAAATCTTGTCCCAATAGTGCTTTAGTATCGTTAACGGTCGGCTCAATATAGAAGGTATGGTCGGTCGATTGATTAAAGATATGTACTTTTACTACACAGTAGTGGGTAACTAAGAACCCGCACATACCTCCTATTCCTCGAATATTGAACGCCTTAATTAGGGGAAATTTTTCAACGTTTAGTTCATCGACAAACTCATTCGAGATGAGTGATGTGTCAGCTCCAAGATCGACCATAACTTGAACGCTACGGCCATTAATAAACTCCCACTGTGTTAGCGGTGGTGCTCGGCTTGGTTCTCTAGTAGAATCGGTAGTAGAATAATCGATATTGATGTCGTTAACAATCGGCTCAGATAGGTTGGTCGCTTCGGTGATTCGGATACCACTAATTGTTATTGATTCACGAGTATCCGGCGATTCACCAGTCATCGGGGAAGTACTGCTGGCGGTTACTCCCCGTTCTCGTTTTCCTGGCTACTTGCTGATGCAGCAAATTCAATCTGCTGCGGCGGCGGTGAGCACGACGTCGGCCGCGGACCGTTCGGATGGACCGGGCCTTGGTTGCGCGAATGGGAATTGTTACGGGAGCGGCCGCTATTAGGCGTACCCGCCTCACACCGGTTTGACTTCGGTTCCGGAAATCCCGGGCGTACCGACAAGTTCCCGTTACCCGATCATGATACGACAAATAGATCGGATTTTCGGCTTGAGACACATCCTTAAACTTCCATGCCTCAAAGTCGTGCCCGCAGAAATCGCACTGTTGGCAATACTCAAGTACCATTGCGCATTTCCTTCTCCAGTCGCATTTCCTTCTCCAGTCATGGAGCCCGTTTAGTATTTTCTGGAATACGTCCAGAGTTCTCGGCCCACAACTGGCTACGACTCGGCTGTTGGTTATTATTAATATTATTACCGGCTGGTCTTATTTTGTTGTTGTTATTAGCGTTGCAAGCTGGCCTAATGTTACCATCATTGCCATTACCGCCAGGTCTTGGTCGGCGATTCGCATTGGGACGCGGTGGGCTAGCGGCTGCTGCAGCATAGCTCACCGGCTTCGGCTGGGTCTGTACCAAACAAACGGTAACTGAATCGGCATCTTGATTCTTACGCTTGCTACCGACTGGGATTACATACTTGTCGGGATTACTCGCCCTCAAGTACCTTATCTTTTCTAGAATTTCTTCCGGCGTACGACGATCCATGCCCTCGATTTTATCATGCAAAGTTGCATGCATCTTTACTCCCTTAACCAAGAAGGCGACAAATTGTCCCGGCGTGCCGGCATAACCTGCCTTTTCTCTCAGCGTCATCAACGCCTGAAGGAAACTCTCAAGCGATTCTTGACCTGGTCGGTACGTTCGACTCTTTAATTCGGACAACGCATTAACAGAGCGTCTAGTATCACCAAACCGCGCGTCCAATTGATCGCGCCACTCCCGGTACGTAGTCGGCTTATTAACCGACGTTAGCAGACCATTGTACCATATGATTGCCTCGTCCTTCAGGCAGTAAGCGAGCTCGGAAATCTTACGCTCGTCACTGACCCAGCGGTTTCCTTAGCGGCTAGTTCAAATTTTATAAGGAAGCTATCAATATCTTCCTTACTGCCACTGTACGACGGCCTTGGTACCGGCTGCCGTATGGCATCGACTAGATCCGCTTTTCTTAACGGACTATAAGTTCAGCTTATTTGCTCGCTCTTCCTTCCTAGCTCTTCCCGCAATAGCTCGCGAATAGCTACTGATTCGGCTTGCGAAACTCGTTGCTGACTAATACGTTCGGCTGTACTATGAGTCGACTCCATGCAGGAGTGCATGGTCTCAGTCTGAAAAGTACGCACTCGGGGAGCCGGCCTTCCTTCGTATTCGATTTGATTTTCGGCTGCGGCCATCATCTGTTGATGCGTCGTCAACAGGGGGCTGTACTTATCGGCTGATTCATTGAATTCCGACCGGACCTTTTAATTTGTCTCTTTTAATTTCGAGATCGAAATTAACCGGTCGTTAGATTCGGTATTTAGTCTTCCAATATCATGGACGGCATTTAAATACTGATTACGGAATCCGCTCGACGAATTTCTGTTCGGATTTTAAGTCGGCCTGTACTTTTTGTAATTGGGCTTTTAACTTTTCAATCTTATTTTCGCGTTGTCTAACATGGACTGCTAGCCCGACAGCGGCTTCGCTCGCCTTATTATGGGAGCCTTTAGCAACCCGTAGTTGCTCATTCTTTTTAGGTTGTCCTTTTCGGCTTTTATATCGCAAATCGTTTTGTTACGCTCTGCGATATCCAGTTCGGCTTTTCAAGTCGGACTCTAAAGTCCGATACTTGATTCTGCAGTTCTACTACTGCATCTGTAGCTTGCAATAAAAGGCTCATTCTCCGATCGGCTGTATCGGTGGCATTTTCAAAACCGGAGTCATGTCTTTACCCAAGACTGTGTCGATTAGACTGGGACTAGAATGGGCTTTCGGCATCAACGGTACTACCGTTCTCGGCTCTTCGTCCTCATCGTCCGACGAGTCGGGCAGCCTATTGGACTCAGGATCGCTAATATTAATAAGCGATGCCGAAGATGTCGACGTGGTCGACTCGGTTATGCTACCTAATCTTTTGACATTTGGTGGCAAATCTTCGATCATTGCCTCATCTAGATTCATATGAACCACCGGCGAGGTCGGCTGTACTACCGACTCGGATACCGGTAGATCGGCTAATGGTGCTCTTTTCGGCTTCCTTTTATTTGTTTGTAGTACTTGATGTACTACTTCTTCCCCACCGGCTACGATCTGTTTTGCTTTACCACGGGTAATTTTGCCGGCGTTAGCGTTATCGTTTGCCTCATTAGTCTGGCTGACATTGTCCGGCTGGTTCCGGATAATCCGATCGGCTTTTTCAATTAAACCATTGGCAAACTGCCTTGGCTTATTCAAGGGAGTCCGATGCATGTCGGCAATATTATTAAAATACAAACGATGATTATCACGTTTGTATTCTAATAAAGAATACGTCAAATCAAACGGCAACTCGATTTCTATTTCCCATAAATGGGTCGGAGTGAAATCGACCAACCCGCGAAAAGACTTCCAATCAAAGTGAAAATAAGATGGTCGAGTAATTTCGGCGATTAATATATTATAAGTAAGGTACGAATATTGATTATCGAATTACTTCAATAATCAGTCGGTAGTTAATACAATGATCGTATTTTACGGTAATATCCTACCGCAATTGATTTGGCTAAATATCGTGTTATGAAACACACGCAAACATGTATCGAAATTGGCGGCTAGTATTGCAGTGTACTGCAATGTCAATAAACGCGACTCGGTAGCTATGGTGAAACACGGTAGCAGCAGCTTTCGTGTTCGGTAACGATCGGCAAAATCCACTGCGATATTCCGCAGTCGACCGTGGACTTGACTTTGCAAAATTTGAAATTTTACAGAGCACAAATCACAGTGTTTCTACCGTGATTATTCGGCAAAATATTAAAAGATTCGTTCGCAAGACTGAGCAGAAGTATGCAGGAGTATCGCGTACTACACACAGTTGCTTCGGCGACCGTATTCCATCGACTCTACGAAAATACATACGTAATCAATTTTCATCGATTACAGTTGGCAAATCTTGCAGAAAAATATCGGCAAATTGGGTCCCGTAATTCTTACGAATTATAGTTTAAAGTATACGGCAAAGACGCAATTTTAAATTGCTAGATCGGCTACCAAAAACGATGACACACGGTAGCGTTGACAGCTCCCGTGCGCGGCTAAATTCGATGATTGTGGATGAATTCTAACGATTTTATCCTTTCGAAATACCAAAATTTCATGGCGGTAATTTTCTGCTATTGCAGAAACAATATTGACGGCTGAATCGACTGAAAAATCGACCTTTAAGTCGATATTATTACGGCAAGATCGGCCAAGCTGACTCAATAGGACAACTCCGAAAAGCTTCTGTAATCGGCAATATTTCGAAAAGTAAAACAATATTCCTTTCGGAAACTGTTCGGCTAGCTATTCTGAATTTTATTTCAGAAATTTTCAAAATTTATCTGCTGGAGCAGATCGGCTTACCTGAGCTGACTGTCTGACGATGCGACGACGTGAGATGACGTTGCTGTCTGCTTGCTTCGGAAATTCTCGTCCGAATGCAGGATCGTTTCTGCACTCCCCACTTGCTTGCAGAAGTATCCCCGATATGTGGGCTTGCTTCTGGTTCCGGAGGGAGACGGTTATCGGTGAGTGGCGACGGGAAATCGTTGCAGGAGCTCCGGGGTATCGGGTAGCTGCAGTTGGTATTTCCTCGTCGGGCTGTACGGCTTCATTCCACACTTCGCTGTAGACGAGATGCAGAATCCGGTAGGCGGTACAGGGAATATCGGCTGCGCGCGCAGTTGAGTTTACGCACAGTTTAAAGTGCGAACGATCTGCTAAATACGGCTCACGAGGCAAAGTGCCTGCTTGCCAACAGAAAAAGTTACTCTAATACAGGGATGCGGAAGATCAAACCCGCAACTCTCCACCATGAAAGCACGCTGTGTGCGTGGCACAGGAGTGCGAACGGAACAAACGCGCTACCAAACAAGATCGTTTATTAAAATGAAATTTTAATAAAGGCACTATCGCCTGATAAATCTAAATCATCCGCAAGATGATCAGAGGCCCAGAAAGGGAACACGAGGAAAACAAAAGTTAAATCCGAGCGCTCTGCTTCACTTGCAACTGCAGTGAAGAGAAACCTTGCACTGTACGAGCAAGGTACAGATCTACCCCCAGTCCTCCGCACCCCAGCCGGAAGAAACGCAGCAGTGACGATGATCCCATTCGCCAAGTCGGCCAAAAAATCGATGATGGATCAGTCTCGGGCGCCATGCGAGTTCTGCTATCCGCAGATTCAGTAGCAGACTGCACGTTCGAGGACCTTCAAAGTTTGCGAGAGGAGCACCCATTAAGCGCCCCACCGTCCACGGCTCGTCACGCCACAACCGCTGCTAATGCGCCTGCTTTCACGGCTGCAGAAGTTATTGCTGCTATCCACACTTTCCCACGGGGCTCAGCCGCAGGACCAGATGGCTTACGGCCTCAACATTTGCTGGACATGGTGGGCTCGAAGTTAGACGATCATAGCGGATCCCTCTGCGAAGCCATTGCCTCTGTTTTGACGCTGATTGCGCAGGGTAAAATACCTGCTGACATACGGCCGATCTTCTTTGGTGGTTGATTACTGGCGTTGCGAAAAAAAGACGGTGGACTGCGCCCGATTGCGGTAGGACTGTCGCTGCGTCGCCTGATTGCTAATATTATTTGCAACAGGATAGCGGATCGGGCAACTGCTTTGCTCACTCCTCACCAGTCTGGCTTTAACGTTCGGGGCGGAGCTGAAGCTATCGTTCACGCAACCAGACATTTTATACAGTCCTCACCGGAGAGTATAAAAGCGCTCGTGGAGATCGATTTTCGCAATGCCTTCAACACCGTATCCCGAGAAATAATACTGGAGGCTGTGCATACCCATTTCACTGAGTACGATGAATTCTTCTGGTCGGCGTATGGGTATCATTCTTCCTTGTTCATCGATCAGACAGTGCTGTCGTCTGAATGTGGAGTGCAGCAGGGCGACCCGCTGGGACCTTTGCTATTTTGCCTTGCATTACTTCGTGTGATTGCTACGCTCGGTACTGAGCTTAACGCTTGGTACCTTGACGACGGAACCCTAGGCGGAGCTCCGGCGACAGTTGCAGAAAACCTCACTCGGGTAATTGAAGGCGCTCGTGCCACTGTACTGGACATAAATGAATCAAAATGCGAGCTTTTTCTATCGGGAGGTACCGAAAGTGAACGTCAAGAAGTTGTCAAGTTTTTTGTTTCGCGTCATCCACAGCTCCGTGTGATGTCTAACTCCACTTTAACGCTACCAGGCGCCCCGGTTCAGGACGACGCGATCAGTGACATCCTTGCTGAGAAATCATGTGTTATAAAAAGAGCCTGCGAACGCTTGCAACTCCTTCCTAGCCACCACGCACTATATCTGCTCAGGCATTGTTTGGGCGCCCCGAAAATAATATATGTTATCAGATGTTGCAATGCCTGGAAACATCCAAACCAGCAATATCAAATTGTTGACGCTCGTGTTTTCAGGAACTCAGTAACGTTCGCGTGAACCACGACGACTATCCTTGCTGGCGACAAGCGACTCTTCCGGTTAGTCGAGGAGGAATTGGCATACGTCGTGCGGAAGAATTATCACTCCCAGCCTATTTGGCTTCGATTCAACTCCGCATTTGATTTGTTATTGTCGATGCTTCCTCATACCCGGCAGTAGACGCATCAGAAGCAATAGAGCTGTGGAAAGTTAAAGCTCGACAACCGGAAATGCCAGAAGTTGCCTTCTGGAAGCTGCAAAAAACATGGAATTTGCCACTTTGCAATGTGTCAGTTTCGGTCTTAATGGACTTATTTCCCTCAGCCCACATCGGCAACCTTCTCGACGACGAGACTATGAAAATCTCAATTGGTTTGCGTCTTGGAGCAGATATTTGCGAGCCACATAACTGCACCAAATGCCATAAATTGGTGGACAAGCTCGGACACCACGGGTTATCGTGCAGTTACTCAGCCGGTAGACATGCGCGCCACGGAGGGCTAAACAATATCGTGTGTCGGGCATGTGCATCAGCCGGAATTCCAGCTAAGCTTGAACCACGCGGCACGTCGTTAACAACAGATCGACGCCCAGACGGTTGTACAACATTTGCCTGGAAAATAGGGATGTGCCTGGCCTGGGATGTAACGTGCGTCGACACAATGGCCCTTTCCCATCGCCCGTCAACGTCGGTTACGGCAGGTGCTGCTGCTGTTCAAGCAGAAGAAAAGAAATCTCGATTTTATGCATATTTACAAGGGCGCTACATCTTTTCTCCGATCGCCTTTGAGACTATGGGACCCTAAGGCCCGTCAGCTATCGCCATTGTAAAAGAGTTGGGCAAAAGATTGGAGCAGCACACGGGAGAGCGTCGATCGCATGAATTTCTGCGCCAACGGCTTTCACTAGAAATTCAGCGCGGAAATGCAACATCTATCCTTGGCACGATGGACGGAGTGGATAGTTTAAATGAAGTTTTGCTGTTGTGAATATAATATCACGTTTTTATTTTTCTTCCACCTGATCTGTATGTTGATTATTATTAAAGTTTTGTATAGGAAAACACAGTCGACTAGTCAACAGCACTTGAATTTTAATAAATGAATATTAATGAAATGAATTTTAATAAAGGCACTATCGCCCGACAAATGTAAATCATCCGCAGGATGATCAGAGGCCCAGAAAGGGAACACGAGGAAAAACACTGTCGACTAGTCAGGATATTCCTAGCTTGGAGATGAGAAATCCACCGAATGAGAGTGAGACCGTACATCTTAATGTACGGTCGAAATTCCTAAAATACCCGGGGATCGCAGAGCGTCACCCACCGCCAACCTGTGCAGTGGGACTGCGATTCTGACATTGGCTACTAAAAACAACTAAGATTGTTAAGCAAACTTCAGACATGCTACCTAGCGATGGGACGAAATGAAAGTGTAGAAAAATTTATCGTGTCCCAGCTCGCAACATCCAGAATCTTGCGCTATTTCTTTCCCGCACGAGCTCTTTGACCTTCTTCAAATTTTTTATTTGGAGCAAGACTTTAAGTGTATTATTTTTTGACCAGTTTCCGAATCGAACACATTAATTTGTGCTCAATTCGAAAACCGCAACGAAAAGCTATTTAGCACTGCATTGCAGGAGAATTTCTAACTGATATAAATTTACATTGCCCATGGTAATTTCTAATGAGCAAATTATACATACGGCTGAGTCTACTGACTACAACATTAGGAAGATAAGCGGAAGAAATGCAATAGCATGCTTGACTCGGATAGCAGTGGACTGGCTCGACAATTTTTTAACCGCTCTGCTATTTTCTGTCATTTCCTACAGCCTTACACAGCGAATTCAGCAAGTCTTTCGAAATACCATACGCAATTTGGTATACCAAATTTTATCTCGTATATCTGGTAAAAAATTGTACCATTGGCCCCTGCCTGATATACCATTGGTAAATGGTATATCAGCCGTACCACAATACCAGTTACCATTTGGCATCTACAACCCTAGCTCAGCTGACAATGTAGTTGACCTTTGTACCATCCGATTCAAACTCGCATGCAGTGACGTTGGGATCTCAGGCCAGAGAGCTCATGTCCAGTTACCGCAACGTTTCGCTGTTTCCAGCCCACGAACATACGAAACAAATCGTGTGCCGCCGTTATTACGGTAGTACGGATTTACCGCGATATCACTTCCGTCGAACAAGTAGCTGCGGCTTGGTGATATACCGCGCATACGCTAGCTGCCTTTCCATGATGAGAGTTGCTGAGGATTTGCTTAACACCTTTACGATTGAGCGTGCCTGGTACTGCTTTGCAATAGGAAGTTGTGACGGCACAATATCGTCGCTCCATGAGTACGATAAGAACGAATTGCCCTGTCAGATTGGTTGATTCAGAATCTTTCACCTCAAATCCGACCGAAATTTCGGTCAGCCCTGTTGACAAAGTCGCGAATGATGAATGTGTGAGTTTGTCTATCGTCGTTATCCGCATAAATCCATTTCCGATTGCTCTGTTTCCAGGCACTTTGCTGGTTACGAACACTTCAAGGGTATCCGGGTCAGTAAGCACGGTGAGAATATCTGAAACCGGTGCCCCACTGCGGAACAGCGCATATCCGTGACTGCAATATAGTGAAATTAACTCACATAATACTTGTAAGGTCACGGCACATTCACTGTGTACGACCGAATTTTGCTAGTTCAGTTAGTCAACAGCATACAACTTTTAGCTTAAGCATGTGAACTGAATTAAAAAAACTCTACAGCCTCTTTACGCTACCCATATCAAAAGCCTTGAAATCCATATTAAAAGTTTCCTTTCTCGATGACGTTACATTTGGAGGAGCAGTTGACGTTGTGTGCGAAGACATCACGTTTGGGCGATGTCAGCCGAATTGGGACTACAGCTCATGCTTGGGCCGTTCCAGTAGTACTCACTCACAAAGGAGCTGTATTACGGCAGACCAGCTCTGTCAACCAGAAGGTTCGGCTGCTAACTCTATTCCAAGCTGAACCTGGATTGTGGTTGAACGCATGTAGCCGGCAAGAATGTTAACATGTTCACGGTTCACGGTGTGAGCATTTTTGACGGGCGAAAATGCTCACGAATGAAATCAAGGATGTAGTGTTCAGATTTTCTATGCATTGTGGTGAGAATTTAGTTTTCCTAGATTCTGCGATCGTGGTTGTTTATCGGCTTTCTTATAATTCAAGGAAGACCTGAACGAATTAATGGAAAACATAACAGTGTTCGCACGAAAATTGTATTTTTTAACTTTTCCGAAATCAGGCAAATC